CACCTAGAATAATCCAGGCTGAAACCACCCTCCGGCTTTCAGAGTTAGTATAAAATTGATATCGATGTTAATATTGTTTCAGTTTTGAAAGTGGTTCTTGATGTACCTTAACATGGGTGTGCCGCAAACATTTAACCAATCAACAATGTCGGGTCAGCAGTGTTGTAATGTACATTTCTTTTTCTTAATTTGGACCACAGTTTGTTTAAAACATTTCACCATAGAAAATAAATTATGAAGGATGTATCACAGGATGTCAATTGGCTATGACTCATCTTAAACTATCTCACAAAGTCAAACTGTGACCACAGATCAATACTGAGTACACATACATTAGTACATGTATTGTACAACGAGTGGAGATTGTGGGTGAGAAAAAGTATGTATTATTCCAGAGTATGAGGCTTCAAGAGGGCATTTTACATTACATTTCACATTTTGATCAATTCTAGATTTGTACTGTATAAAGCAACACAGAATCACAGAAGTGTTACAGTGCAGAAGAAGGCCATTCAGCCTGTACTCGCTCATTAAATGAATATCATCACCCAGTGCCTATCTCCTGCCTTTTCCACACAACCTTGTATGTTATTTTTATCCAAAATATTATTCAACGTCCTCTTGAATGGTTCAATTCAACATTCCACCATCACACTTCCATGGAAATGCATTCTGTATCCTAAATACTTGCAAAGTGAAAAAATTTTTCCTCAGTTCACCCTTGCTTCGTTTGCAGATCACTTTAAATCAATGCTGTCTTGGTTCTTGTTCCTTTTACAAGACGAAAAGTTTCTCCTTTCTAACACGTGTTTGACAACGTGCTAGAAAGGCAAGTATTACTGGAGGGCTACATCACTACCAAGTTAGAAACAAGTAAGGACTTGATAAGCATTTCTAAGCGCAGATTTGCAACAGCTAAATGTTATTAAGCCACGGAAACATGGATGTGGAGCAAAATTTCACTCTTACCATTTTGGGAATAATCATGTTTCTGCAATGAATTGAAACTTAAACATGAGAATTGCATGGCTCCGGGGATCATTATTGTTGCGCTTATAATTTCCCTAATGATCATGTGGCCTTTTGGAGCTCTGTCGCAGTAGAATTTAAATGGTATAAACTTGTTGCAGATGGAGACTGGTCACTGAAAATGTCATAGTTCCATCACGTTTACTCTAAATTCCGCCTTCTTCCATACCTCCTCCACAGGAGCCATTTTACAACCCTGTGGGGTATGGGTGTCTGCTTCCTTTTACTGGAACAATTACAGCTGCGTTTCCCTTTTGCTATAATCTATTTACTGTGTTAAGGCTAATTACACACATTACAAAGTCACCATCCCTATAGGCTCATTCAGACTGGAGTTTTAGTTAATTGATTAGCACAAAGTCCTAACGATGAGCGAATAAATAGGTACTGATATAATAACAGTACAAAAATTCATGTCCTGTACAGGTTTAATCTTTCAAAGGATTTCCTTTATCTACCACCGTTTCCAGCCATGTCACATGCTCTTTGCTTGTTTGGGAGTGGGAGCACACCCATTTCCAATATGCAAATAGTGTCGTTGGACTGCTTTTGGGAGGTTTCTGAAGTTGTTAAATTCTTCCCATCTTTTGTGGACTATGCTGAATTTGGAACTCACTACACAGAGATCACAGGGGATGGGAAAATCTGCTGATTGTGCCACTCTGTGGCACAGCAAGTTAGCACATAAGTGCCACATTTTGCCAGGTCTTTGGTTTGTTTTCATATGATTCAACAAAGGCCCAGCAAGGATCTAGTTAAAAATAACTAAAACAAGATGGAACACTGGCTTTTTCAGTGATCAAGCATTAGAAAGAACAGAAAAATGTTTTCAAATCCACAAATGAAGGCCTTTCATAGGATTAACACTGTCACATGTGGTAGTAACATTTCTACAATGTCAATGTCAATCAGGTATTCAAAGTATATCAGCAAGGAGGCACTTTTTATTATTCCCTGATCTACTTTAGGGTGTTGTACCTTGGAGATTCGCAAAAAAAGGTAGTTTTCAGACATCCATATCAATTTTTGAAGGATTTGATGATGCACGGATACTTCAGGGAGATTAATTCAAATTTGTTTGTTAGGGAAGGGCAATGGGTTTATTGGGCTGTTTGTGATATCTTTAAATGAGCAATTCCTTTACAAGTCAGCACATTTGGAATCCCACATGTTTGTTACCCTTTTGAATATGTTTAACCAGAAATCAGAAGCAGAAAATCAAGTTTACTTCACGAAAGAACTGTAGATTGGAATATGCAGAGTGTACAAACAAAACTATATTGCATATTTAAAGAAAAGGACACCATGGTTCTCCAGAAAATCCCTAATATTGAAGTATAAAATGTAGTATGAAAACATTGTAAAATATTTACAACAAGTGGGTTTGTCCTAGAGAGGAACTGGACTGATCAGCTGATCTGCATTAATAATAAATTTCTAAGAACAAAATGTTAAAACCCCTAGGTTGGACCCCATTCCCAAAGAAGTCTACATAATGGCAACAATCTAAATACATTATTTAATAGCTACTCCATTGCATTTGGTACTGGTCATAATGAATAACTGCACGTGTATTTTTTTCAGGATAGGAAGCCTCAGAGACTACTCTGTGTGTCCCTTTATTTCTTGATTGCATAAAGTTCATAAGTGAGTGTATTTGCTCAACACAGACATTACATTTTCAAAATACACCTCCACTCAGATAGACTCCTACGTAGTTCTTTCCACTGTAGTGATGCCACTATGTTCTGCATACGGCTAACTTTGTACACGTGGAACACTGTGCAGATGCCAATTCACTCATACAATGACAGAATGAACAAATGGCTTACTAAACATTGGAATCTGTATCTTTCTGAAGGTCAGCAGACTGAACGTAGCTCTTCTCTCACATAAACGTGTCAGTTCACATATATACAAGTCTACAATAAGTGGATGCTGATGATAGACATGTTTTTAAAAATCCAGATACCAGTTTCTTCCTAGGGTGGAGTACCTCCGCTCCAGGCGCATCTGATTTTACTGAATATAATTGAAGGGAATGTCTTAAGCATGCACATATTTCAAAACAAATGAACTATTATTTTTAATTTTTGTGTTTTCACTTAAAAAACACTCAAATTTTAGGACCAAAAGGTAGCTTTCGTATTAATAATATTACATCAGTAGGTAACAGTGATGTTGCGAGGAAACGGTTGGGAGTAGGGATCAGTAATTAGAGATACAAGTTGTGGACCTACAAAAATTAAAGCAAAATTTGAAGATTCAAGGAGTTATATCAATAATCTTTTCCTATCCTGAACCTGAATCACAAGAAAATGACCAGGCAAAAATGCAGTTCAACTCAGAATGTTCTAATTACGAGTGAAAAGTTGTAGGATTTGACAAACACGAAGCTCTTTGAAGGAAAAGATACTTTTAACATCCATTCTAAGTAAATTCAGAGAACATTTTATTATTTTCCTCAAGCTTTTCTTCAGTGAGTTTTGCATTAGAATTCGTGCCTTTCTTTTCTCATGTTTTATATTGAGCTTACTTTTTCTCCCACACTGTCTGTCTTCCTGTCTTTCAGGCTCACACATTTTTTCTTTAGAAATTAAGTGTAAATAAAATAGAAGTAATCAAGCTACAGTGAGAACCTTATTGCAACAAATGTCTCATTATATCATCCTGTTTTATTACAGTCCTTGCTGAAACTGAATATCAATCTAATCCCTTCTTCCAGAATTAATTTCTTCACCGAGGTCATAAATCTATAATAGTTACATTAGGCTGCAAGTTCCAACAAAAGAGGGAAAAACCATCAGCAAAACAGAACAAAGTTTTCAAAAATCAATCAGAAGGCTCCTAAAAGTGCATAAGTAGAGTTGATTTCATTACGCCCAGAGTTCAGTCATTGATAACTTCTTCAGGAAAACTGAACTGGCTGGAGTAAGGAGACCATTCCCTTTATCATTATTGCACAATAGATTGATGTTCCTTCAATACCTTAAATACTAATGGCAAAATCTCACCAATTTCACTGTGGAAAGAGTAATTTAATTGGGTAGACTCAGTGAGCTTGGGAAAATGCAATTTGCAAGCATTTAAACCTAAAAGAAGAGTTTATTCCAATTAACTGGAGCAGTCACGATGACTAGTGTCTGGTTTATATGATCACCTCTAACTGGAAGTTGTTCTAATTCCAGCCAATCTTAGCAAATTTTATCTTTAAATGTACCGTAAATCTATGCTTTCTGTTTTCCCCCTTCTTAACTTCTTGAAAATGAAAACGTAATCTTCAGTTAGTGAATTAATGAAGTGGACCAGAATATAAATTTTTTTAACAGGACAAGGTTCATATTTTTTCAATCGACAGAAACAGAATTTAGTGATAATTACTGAGGATTACAGATTAACAACATGAAAATTCAATAATGCAATAAAGGTGTCTGCGCAGACAGGACTTGTCATTGAAAGAGTTAAAAAAAAGGAGACTTTAAGGAAAGGTAAAACTTTGTTGCGGGCAGATATATTTTCGGGCTGATTTCCCTCCTATAAATTTTGCAGTTCACTCCAGCCATGTTTGAAAAGACAAAGGTAGTTGCTTCACATATACTAAAGCTACCCCATCAGCCACGTACACGTCTCATTTGGCTCAAATGAACTGCTGCTTTCAGAATCTGTCTCACTGTCGTGCCAAAATGGACCATTCAATGCTATTTATTACAATAAATATGTCGTGATAAAGAATTTTTGATCAAAAGATTTGCCGGGATAAAGAACTATTGTGAACTAAATTTAGCAACAAGTGCAATTTTATTTGTACAGAAACCCACGCCCCTTCAAAACGAGTCAAAGGCAAACATTATAGACAGCAGTAGCCTGCTTTTAACTGAACATTTTTCAGAAGTAACTTGCTCATAGACAGAGTAATCCTGAGCTGGGCATGCGTGTCTCAAAATGAGAAAGATAAAAGTGAAAGGACTTACATGTAGGAAGACTTTAAGAGAGTTTTGAATTGTTACTCACAATCAAGCCGGTCTTCCCCTCTAGATGACTCGTGTTCAGCAGGAACATATTTCAACATCGTTACTTCATTGCTACAACATCCCATCTGGTGGTCAATTGCATTCAACTTTCTTCTGAAAAAAATGACTTTGTTTTATAAAGGACAGCCCCCTGAAACTCCTCCTTCCTCCCTTTTAGGGCAGGGACATGCTTAGTGGTTGGAAATAATAAGCCTTCTCAGATCATTCATGGCTTCTTAAAAAAAAATCAGAACTCCACCCTGGTGCAGTGTAGCCAGAGGATAGGGGACAAGAAGGGAAGGGGGTGGGATAATGGAAGTGGAGAATTAATTGCTGTCAATAAATACTTTCTCTGAGACAGAATCACAGCAGTTTGCAAACTCCCACCTTGCTCTTGAACTGGGTTACTGAGCTGTGAAGTACAGCAGGCTATGTAACTTTCACCTGCTGTGTGGGGAATTCTTATCGATGATAATGCTTATGAGTCAGCCAGAGGAACCCCACCCAGTGTGGGCGGCTTGAACTGTCATTTAAGCCTTATATTGCCAGCATAACAGACAATGTCTATCTTTTGAAGACCTACATAGACAAGGATTTTCATTTACTTCAGATTTTTTCTTTTAACTTAACTTTCATAATATTTTATTGCTAATCGTTCAGTGTGCTGTAAAGTCCAATTCATCACCAACCTCACTTTATACACTTAAGCAGCTAAACAAACCCAATGACTACATGCATGTCTATAAATAGATACAAACCATGACAATCTTTTCATTGATTTATGCCTGCCTTATGTCTTGTGTGGCATATTTCAGACTGTACATATCTCAAGATCTCCCTCATCTTGATCTGCTGTCCCCAACTTCTGCCATGTGACGTCCCACTTCCCTTCAACTAACTTTCGTTCCCTGATTTCATGATTATTTTTCACCTCAGTGACTCCATTTACACAATATTGACTTCCCATTTTAAGACTGTAATTTTGTTTCTTTTCTTTTAAGGTCTTTCATGAACCAGTCAGCCTGTTGATGGTGGGGAAACTTTCAGGGATAATAATACGCAACAAAATTATTTGGTTTTCGGAAATGAATGGACTGAAAACTAAAAATCAGCACAGATTTGTTGAAGGCAAATCAGTTTTAAATAAGTTGATTGAATTTGCTGATGAAGTAACGGAGAGGGTTAGTAGGGATTGATATGCGTATGGATTTTCCAAAGACATTTGATAAATACCGCATGATAAACTTTAATCAAATTAAAGACTAGAGAATTAAAAGCTCATTGCCAGCATGGATGCAAAATTGGCTAAAGAACAGAAAGCAAAGGGTAGAGGTGAATGGTTGTTTTATAGATTAAAGGAAGGTTTTCAATGGTGTTCTCCAGAAGTTGACATTAGCACCACTGCTCTCTTTGATCTATGTTAATGACCTGGACTTGGGTATACAATGTTTGTAGATGACATGACAGGAAATTCTGAAATGTAGTAAATAATGCTATGGATATGGATTTAAGTACATAAATGTTTAACCCAGGCAGCACAAATTGAGAAGGAATACATGCCCAAATTTGTTAAGAAATGACGGTTGCTAGATAAACGCTGAATGAGCTATTCAGGAAGTGACTTATAAAGGCCTTGATTTGGAGTGTTGTTCTGTATGGATGTGAAACTTGGACTCTACAGAAAGATGCGAACAACTTGCTAAATAATTTTCAAGTGTGAGTTTAGAGGAATTAGACAGAATCAGTTGGACAGAGAAGCACCAAATAATGAAATGTGTCGAGAGTGAAGGAAGAAAGAAATTTGCTGACTGTGATAGAAACAGAGGGAGAACCTGGGTAGAGCATATTTTAGGAAGAAATAGATTTGTAATTAATGTTATTTTGGGAAGACTTCAAGGCAAGAAAGGAAGGAGAAGAGAGAAAGTATCAATGGTGGATTGATTGACAATGTAAGGAAGTTATTAACAAATGAAAGGATTGCCACAAGATAGAGAAAGACATGGAGAGGTTATAATGAGCCAAGAACCTGCTATCAGGCACAGCACTCAAGATGATGATCATCATGAGAATATAAGAGTATCAATATTATGCAAAACCATAGGAAAACATTAATAGACTCAGCTAAGCACAATTCACTTTTGGATACCACACTTTAGGAAGAATATCAAAGTTTTAGAAAGTTTGCAAAGGAGGTTTACTAGAATGGTACCGGAGATGGTGAACATTTGTTATGTGGAATGATTATGTTGGGTTATTGTCCTTAAAGCAGAGAAGATTACTACATGGAGCAGTGATCAAGGTGGTCAAAGTTTTACACAGTTTGATGAAATAATTAGAAAAGATTTCTGGTTGCAAAAGGGTCGGCAACTAGAGGAGTTGGATTTAGGATGATAGGGGAAAATATTAGATACTGTGTCACTGAATATTTTCAAAGCTGAGATAGACAGATTTTTGATTGACAAGAGAGTGAAGGATTATAGGGGACAAGCAGAATTAGGGGAATTAAGAACACAATCAGATTAACCACAATCTTATTGAATCCTATCTTGTATATTCTAACTCCAGGAAACATGAAAAAATTAAGTTTTATGCTACAAGTTGTTGAAATTTGGAACAAAAGGGTTATGGAAGCAGATTTGACAGCACCAATGAAATTAGATAAATGCTAGAAATGGAAAAAGTTACAGGGATATTGAGATTGACACTGTGGAATTAGAATAAAATAGTATGAGAAATAGGAGTAGGAGTAGGCCATTCAGCTCCTTGAACTTGCTGTGCCATTCATTAAATCTTGCTTGATCTGATTGTGTCTTCACTCTATTTCTCTGTCTGCCCACAAAATTGTTAACTCCCTTCAAATCAAAAATCTCTCCAACTCAACCTTGAATATATTCAATGACCCAGCTTCCACTGCTCGCTGGGGATGAGAATTCCAAATACTAGAGAGAAGAAATTCCTAATCTTGGTTTTAATTGGGACACTCCTAATTTTAAAACCGTGCCTCCTTGGAGAGGAAACATCCTCCCTGCATCAATCTTGTCAAACATCCTCTGAATCTCATACGTTTCAAAAAATATCACCTCTTATTCTTCTCAACTCCAATGAGTACAGGCCCAACCTTCTTGTCTGCAAAATTCAAACCCCTTCATCCCAGCAATCAGCCTAGTGAACTCCTCTGAACTGCTTCATTATATCCCTCCTGAAGTATTGAGACCAAAACCACATGCAATGCTCCAGGAGTGATCTCAGCATTGGCAAGTACAGTCGTAACAAGTTTCCTCCTTGGAATAAAGACCAACATTCCACTTGCCTTCCTAAATACTTGCTGTATCTGAATGATGACTATTTTTTTGTGTTCATGCAGAAGGAGACACAGAACGCTTTTGTATGACCGCATTCTGTAGCCTCTGCATTTAAGTAATGTTGTGTTGTTTCTGTTCTTCCTCCCATTTTCCTATACTCCATCTGCTCAATTTTTTAGCCCAATTAATTGCATTGTTTTCCTAAAGAGCCAGCTTGGAGGTGATAGGCTCTTTTGTGAACAGTGGGCTTTATAGGGGCTGGAGTGCATCGTCACCCCGGGATAAATATTTTAATTTAAGTTTGAAAAGTTTCCATTAGCTTTTTTTTGTCATAGTGCTGCACCAGGAGCTGCCTAATCCATTAAAGCTATCTTTTAATGGTAGAGGTGACAGGCTGAATAATCTTCTGTGTTGTACCATCCATGTTTCTACAGTTCCATTAAAACAGGAGGAAGTTTCAAGGCATCAGATACGTCCTTTTAAGGGCTTCGATCAGAATGAGAACCACAACTAATGTTATAATTTGTTTAAAGGTTTGATTCCAAATCTGTGAGCATCAAGATAGATTCTTATCAAATCAATCTTTAAGAACGTAAAATTGGAGATATTCTGTTGAGAGGAAGCAGTGTGAATCCTGACGCTGAAAAGGAACTGGGAGCGTTCAAAGAGTTAAATTGTTACACTAGCCCATTATTCCATGCAGTCCAGTTGATTTTACTGACCATGTCCACATAAAATTGCCATCTGTTATCAACTAACTCAGGGTGTCAGCAAAGCTTCAAACGATGATAATGCTATGTTAACAATTGAATAGCTGACCAACAGTTAGTTTACATACTGTTTTAATATCTTAACTGTTTCTAACCAATTTCAGGATTACTTGTTATTCCTTTCGACAGGTTTTACATCCTAACAAACGCAGCACAACACGGATTGTACCAGAGAATCCTCACTCTACACACTGCCAACTGGAACGTACTACATGATGTATTATGAATTCTCCTTGTATTACTGACTTCAGCAGTAAGAATCTACCAGCCCACAGGTAACACATCAGGAGGAGCTGGGTGGTGGTTGGGGGCAAGTAAAATGTCATGGAGGCAGACTGGAACAGTGCCCTGGCACAGTCTGCAGAAAGGAAGTTACCCTGCCATTTCCTGGTGATGGAGTGCCTTCCCACCAACCCTGCTGTGGAGGGGCTGGGATTCTGATTTTGCCAGGAGTGTGGAGAGCCAAACTGTTTTTCTTAGTAAGATGGCAGGCGTTTTTAAAGTTTTATTTGTTCATGGGATGTCAATGTTTCAGCTCAGCCAGCATTTATTGCCAATCCCTAATAGGCCAGAGGGTAATTAACACTCAACCACATTACTGTGAGTCTAGAGCTATATGTAGGCCAGGAGTCACATGCGGGCCAGACCAAGTAAAAATGGCAGATGTCCACATAAGGACATTAGTGATTCAGATGGACTTTTACAACAATTGAAAGTGGTTACATTGTCATCAGCAGATTAAATTTCACCATTTGCCATGGTGGGGTTCAAACTCATGTCCTCCAAACATTAGCCCGTGATTCTGGATTATTAGTCCAGTGATGCTATCACTACACCATTAGCCTCCCATTAAGAAGTCAACTTCAGGAAAATTCCTGCTGTGATCCCACTGCTCCCCAACCCCCCATACTGAAACAAGACCCACATATGATCCTAATATCACAACCTTTGAGAAAATCCTGTCCCAGGTTTGATGGAGGCCTCAAATGTCCGGTAAGTTGTTTATTTATTTGATAAATGTGAATGAACAGTGCACTGTTTAACAGATTGAGACTTGATTTTCCCCTACACTCTGCAGATTAAAGACAATTTGTTTTCTCTTGAAATTTAGGCCTGAGAACAGAAGATACAATAAAGTGCTGCTA